CAAACTTCTTTTCTAACCCACCTCTTTTAGGTTCAACCTTTTAAGAGGCTCGGAACTAGTTAATAATACAGTTTACTTTCTTTCTAAACCAGACGAATGTTTAAGCCATAAAAGGAAGGTAACATTTTAAAGTGAACACCTTTTAGCACCCAATACAATTAGGTGCATTAAATTCTAAAAAAGATGTGTACTTCATTGGGTAACATTTCGAACGGACTGCTTCGCCGTTGATTAATTTTAATCCGATTTACTATTTAATTCAAGGCATGCTTTTGTCTGACCTCATTAAAATTAGTAGTTACTCTAAAGTAGTAGACTTTCTATGATATGCTAGGTAAAATTGGATTATGCGGAGATCATACTTTTCCCAACTCTCCATGCTTTAGCAACAGTAAAAACAAGTTTATAGGTTCGGTGTAGACATTTCAAAAACCAAAGAACCCGATTTACAAATGTTATAAAAGTATGTAGACAACTACAATGCAACAACGAACAATGTCGGTAGGTATAAAAAGATGAATAACAAAGAATTAAAAGGTGCAAATTAGCATAGTCATCTGTCATCTACAAAGGCACATATTTTATAAACCCAATTGCAGGAGCGCCTGATGAAGTTTCGCGAGAACTTCGAGCCACTTGTAAAAAAACCGCGTATCAAATTGAAACTTTTCGGTTCCTCTTTGTCGGGTAAAACATCGCTTTCCGCATCTCTGCGCTCCGGGGTTGTAACGGGCTATTTGAAACGCAAAATGAGGACCATCAGCCATATTGCTGAGTGGCTTTCGGGAGGTGGTGCGTTCCTGATCAAATTACCATTATAAAAAATCGTTCTATTTGGACACTCAAGTGTTATTTTCCTACAGAAACCAACGCCAAATACATCAACATCTCCAAGCGAAAAACAAAAATGTTTTACGCCGACCATGATAACTATACGCGGGGCATTGATGTTAAAAGTCAGTTTAATTTGTTAGCAGACTTTTATCTCTTGACATCATTGATAATTTGTGCTAAATCTTTTTTTAATTTATTAATGGGAGATATTTTAATTAACCAGTCCCTGGTATTCCTTAAACAGGAATACCATCATTACCGACTCAATTAAAATTAGTATCGGTAATGCACTTTAAAAAGATTCAGCAAATTTCTTTGAAATGCCTTTCTTTCTAAATCACTGAAAGTGTCATCTGAAATCCAGCCTTGTGAATACTACAACCGAAGTAATGGGTAAACAAGCAGTAAAGACAGATTTTCAAGAAATAACATTCCCTTAAGTCTACATATTATCACGTTAGTCTAAGATAAGGTACTAGCAAATGAATAATCGAATAATTAGGGATAAAAATATTACCATCATCACTTGAAACTCATCATAACCAGTTTATAAGGAGGATATTTCAAGGTATCTGGTAAAATTAGACATTACTTTGAGTAATCTGTTAGAAATCGCACTTTCACAATATCCTTCTTGTCGTTTTTATTCTTAAATTCCATTCCTATTACCTGTGCTTGTTTAAATTAAAACCATGGACAGCAGTAGGGAGAATCCACTGGCTGAAATATTTATTTGAATATTACGGCAATAGTGTATGGTTTCTATTTTTGAGACCTTTCCCACTTTTAGACACACCAGAATTCAGCATATGGGAATTTTCCGGTTACAAGCCGTACTACTTTCTTTATTACTTCTTCATTGGCAATACGAGTTGCATCCATGCCGTCGTCTACAGTCTTAAAGATCCACCTTCCGTCCAGCGAGAGAAAGTTTCTTTTTGGCTTACCTTCATTCACAGTCGTCTATCGGCGCAAGAGGGTTGGTTAGCCCAAAATTCTAAGCCAAAGATAAGGTTTTTCATGGTAAACCAGGAGTTATTCCATCAAATAGCGAAGTCTATTACGTATCATAAAAAATGTACCTTGTTACCTAATTAATCTCAAATTCATTGAAAATTTTTGGGTTTATGAGAATTAAGTTTAAAATGCATTACAATTTTAAGACCACTCATAAGCTCCAAAACAGCATCTGATCCAACCCATGGCAAAACGTGGTTTTAGAAAATTGCCACCGATTACGTTCCATTTTAACATCGTGGGATCATTCGATGAGGAGAACTTAGAGGGCTGCACATCCGCTTGGCGTGTCCAGCTGATCTCTTCAAACCCCAACAGTACTATCTTGACCCAACTGTGTTGCCATTTCACTTACTGAATTTCCTTTGAATTTTAAATTTATTTGCAGGGGACTAAGTTTAGTTTCCTATCTAGTAAAACCTAAACCAGACTTTTAGTACGACCACTTAAGGATAAAAGTTAAGCATCCTTCCAGTCGGCTATGATTTGTGCAGTTGAAAGGCGGCATAATACTAGGGTGGAATATGCATTGGCGACGTACAGAAGGGCAGGAAGGTTACTGGCATGGCCCAAAGACCACGCCGTCCAGCGTAAATACAAAGGCAGAGCCTTAAGTGGCTGCAAAACTAAAGCAAAGAGTCAAATAAAAAGTCAAGATATCATAATTTGGTAATTTAATGAAAAAACTTACCTACATCAAGTGCCTAGAAAGCATATTAAAGGTTTTTGTGCACATTTAACCATCAACTCCGAACGTTAACATTAACATTCAATGCAAAAGTAAACAGTCTTAATTGCAAAATGTTTAAATTTTCAGGAACTAAATTTAAGAAAATATTTGATAAAAGAAGTGTATTATTCCTGGAGCATATTTAACTTTGCTTTAGTGTATTTGTTGTTCCACTGCAATTATAAATGGGACTGAAGTAACAAAATATTTTTTTATAAATCAACTGTAATTTCCGGTAGGTTGACTCGCCAACTTCCGCGCTTTTAATGAGTGATTCATCTTCTTCGAATGGGAAGCTGTTAGCAATTTGATGCTGAACTGACCCAAAGTGAATTAAAAATTAGTGGATTACTTATAGATATAAAATCCTTAAAAGTGCAGTGATAAAGGGAAGTTTGGACACATTGTAAAGTGATTTTTTGAAACTCCCGTTTTTTCTTGCCGCTCAACGATATCCTTTGTCTCATTGCGAAAGCTAAATTGTAAATAAGGAAAATGGGGTAGATGACTTGAATCAGTGAAGTCGGCTGCAGTTTCTTACACATTGGGATATGGCAACAAAAATTTGGCTAAAATTTTTCTGTATGTACGTTTATCATAAAGGATACCATCAGAATACAACAAGTAATTAATTTTATCGTTGAAATGGTCTTCCTTTCAAAACAGACGGTATATTGCAGTCAAAGGCAAAAATTGTCCTGGTGGCGACCCACGCAGATGAGGTCGAGTGCGCACGGGATGGAGAAGGCTATCTTTATCATGTTGGGGCCGCCAGACTCCTTCAGGATTTTCGTAGGCAGTTTAAGTAGGTCACACTGACCAAATAGGTTTGTATTTCATGTATTTTGTAGACAAATTTCCTGTAGTTTAGTCGGAAAGTAATAGTCCGGAATTCGAATAATTCATGGAAATGCTGCTGAGTAAATGAACACATGCATTTGACAGTGCATTGTGTAAAAAGCTTCAATAAGTAAAAAACCAGTTTATTGGTATTGGTGTCGCTTAAATTTAGGGTTCTCTTATCAAATTCGTAGTATTTTAGTAGCAAGCTACCGAAACAGAATCTTTCCAAACGAGTTTTGTTTTACGATCTACTTTTCCCACCAGAGACAAAACAAAAGTGTATAACTATAAGATGTTTTCAAAAGCTAACATGTATCGCATATACACCCATCTTTACCCTACAAAATTAAGTGGGGAAGAATATTAGGTTATAAGAGGTGCCACAGGATGGAGTTGGTAGTTTTGAAATTAGATGAGTGATAAAATACTAAATGATAGCTTGAACTCCAAAGCATTTTAATTCAAGGACATGGGATATAAATGCTTGCGATTGAAAACCGCACACTAGAACAAAATATCAAACAATTAATTTTCAATCATAAACTATTCAGGTACAAATTAGCTATTCAACCAGATCTGCATGTGTTGGATGCCAATTCACCAAACACCGTGGAGATGAAGTTTTTCAAGCACCGACTCCTTAAGCTCAGGGATCAAGTCGTTTTGGTATGACTAAGTTTAATATGCGTATTTATGTGCCACGTGTTTATTTATTCTTTTGTAAAACTGTAGTTAGTAAATTATAGAATACATTTCGTCCTCTCTAAAAAATAAATCCTAGCATATGCCAGAAAACGCAAACCATGGAAAAAGTCCACCTCTGTACATGCGTTCGATCGTGTGCCTGATGCCTGACATTTCGAACCATGCCTTACTTGTAAGGGTTGCAGTGTCTTCCTGATTTGCATTCAAAATGGCGTTTCACGCCTTTTTTGATTGTTGACTTGGGTAACATGACACCCTTCTATTACCTACTGGGTTATTGTTAGCACAATCTCACGCTCTCTACTATCCTGAGGATCAACAAATACTTATTTTTGATAATTAAAGTTTAATATCCACTAGGGTACAAGTGATTCCATGACGAAGTTTAGTCCGCTTTGAATATCAAATGTACTATAAAATTCTGATGGTTTAGTCATTTCCAGCCATTAATTATTAACGCATTGCTGTTCGCAGTTAGACAGGATTAAATATGCTCATTGTACATCATACGAAGCGATATCACTTCTACATTCGCTCACTGACCACTTTTGTTCCAGGAAATACCAACAGTTCCCAGCATTGCTGAAGTCATTTCCAATCGTCTGGAAGAGTGGAACCGGGCACATTATGTCTCCATTAAATACTGGCCCCAATTCATTCACCTAATCCAAACCCGTATCAATCCTCTATGCACAGAGGCCATTCTGCGGGAAACTGTTCAATATCTCCAGTATACAGGTGATGTGAGTTACTCCTCGTCTCAGAAGCAGTTTTCACATTCCAATGCATCCGACTGGAAGTGAATGCAATAACTCTGAAATTCTACAATCCAATATCTATAATTACCACAAATGTAGGATTTAAACTTGCGTTAGTATTACTCACAAAAAGTGAATGAAGCCCGCAAATCAAAGAGATATTTGGTGGTGATCTCAAAGCATAAAATGGTCATTGTTGATTACTGCAATAATAAATAATCCCTTTGTATAGACGCTTGAATATGCTTAAATTTGACATTAACATTTCTATTTTGCGGTCATTTTTATATACATTATTATTCAACTGCGGATTTATCAAGTCCCTTTCCCTTTGCTGAAATGAATCATTTTTGATAGAATTTACATCAGTTATCTTTTAACCATTGGTCGTTGAGGTATTGGCTCGATCCTTGGTAGTTATCTTACAGATAATAACAATATGTGATCTTAAACAATCAAAACTTTAAAAACAATTAAGCAATCTCTTCTATTGTGTTTGAAGCCGGTGTGATATGCTGGATACGTTTAACCCAGTATTTACTTAACAAAAATAACCTACTATCCCTCAATCAACTAAATGCCACGAATTTTAACCCAATAAAATTAAAGAAGTGCTTACAAACACCATTGTAAGAATAAAATTTTGCAATCTACCTTTAAGAATTTTGGAACATGTTTGGGAATAGTTGACCCGCTTTTTTAAAATAATAATGATGTTATTGCCCCTAGCTGATCGTGCTGGAGACAGAAGACGAGAACGACTTGATAATCCTGAATCCCTCGTGGATCCTCACGGAGGCCGTAGGCAGTCTTTTCTCACAGGACAGCATCAGTCATGCCCGCGTAACGGGCAGTTTCACCACCGACGACCTCCACTTCCTCATTACCGAAAGTGATGTTGACATGGTAGTCGAGGTACTGACTGCCCTTGAGTGCTGCACCGTCTGTCCAAACGTCAAGGACGGCGACGACGGCGTCGGTGATGATGATAGTCTTCTTCAGTCAGAGGAACGGAAACAATCAATCCATTCATTTTTCGAGGACGCCGTGGCAGGAACCACTCTGGAAACGTCTCAAGCTGAGGAGCTGCAGCTGGAGATCCCGCGGTTAAATCTGATCCAACCCTCGGATTTAACAGAAGTCTGGGGAAGTGGAGAGGGAATGCTAAGGACCGGGGTGCAGTTCAGAGCATCGGGAGCACAGCTCATTCACCTCTTTCCACGCATTCAGTGTCGTTTGCGGAGGGCTGTGACTAAGATTTCTGCGCGGGAAGGTCTAAAGAGTCCGGAGCTTGTTCAGTGGCTTCATGGGAGTAGACTTACCTTCAACAAAGCCCTTGTCAATATTTGTCTTGTCTGTGAGGAAGCGGAAGGGGTGAGTTGTGAGAACAGTGTGGATGATTTATACCTTCAGAGTAAGCCTGCCTCTTTTTAGATATTTTAATTACCACTTACGATTGTGCTGCACTCGTCAGAGGGAGTGACGACAGTTTGAATTCAGTAACATTAAGGCTAGATATGGGAGAGTTAGATTTTGTAAGATTTTACTGCAAACCATTATTACACTTTAAATACTGTGCGGATTTTGGGAATGAAGTACAAATCTTGCGGTTCGAGCATTGAGTTATTGCTTTGAATTTTCCGGTTGTTCAACCAAAGTTCTTGATAATGGTCGAAAAATTAACGATCGCATCTCCTAAATTAAGAAAGTAGCAAACATGCTTCGGTATTTACTTCAACTTTACGCTTAGTAAGCATATCCCCCAATAACTCCTATTTTAGGTTGCAGTAAGTTCATGCAAACACTTTGCAGCACTTTTTAATGAAATCATCAGCTACGAAGCCAAGCAGCTAGTCAAATTCTCTAATTATAAACTATATTAACTAGTTTTTACGATAATTGAAAGGATGTTTTCAATGTTTCCAATTTTGTCCTTATTCAGTGGTGGCCTTTTAGGAGAAACATGTGAAAGTCACCACATTTTTTACTATGAGATGTTCAGCTATGACCAGAATATTTCGCATAGTGATTCCAAAATGACAAATAGCGATTAGCGTTACTTGTAGTCAAGTAGATAACTAAATTTTAAACCCCCTTTTTCGAAAACAATCCAAAAATCGAGCCCATTTGGCATAATTCTGCGTTTTTTACAAAATCAGAGTAATTAAGCAGCCGAGCTCATTAAATGCGTCTAGTTTAGAATGTCATGTTGGGTGTGATACATAGTAAATAACCAAAAACCAATTCCTTTATAAAAAAAGCATGAACGAATTCTACCAATGTACCCAATTATCTCTGCGAAACGTCTCTGCTTGAAATATGATTACATCAGTATCTCCTGAGCACTTGGTTCAGAAACAAAACTAGAATAGATATATATGCTTTTTTACAGGCAATCGAAGTGAAACTCGAAACGCACAGCTCGTTGACACTTTTAGCGTTCAGCTGTTTCCACGATACCATCATTCTCGTTCGTGCAGCCCTAGATGAGATTGTCCCTCAACTCTCAGTATCCAATTGCCTCCTCATCTTTAAAAGCACCGCCTCCAGAATCTGCAAAGAAGTGGTTTCCCAACCGACAATCTTCCACCTCCTCTCCAACGATTCAGGGACTCTTACTCTGCTCGAAGGAACTCTTTTCCTTCAAAAGCCCCAACTCCGGTCCTGTTGCTGGTTCGGAGACCGTATTCCAGCATCGTGGATCCGCGATGAGGTGCTTCTTGGAGTGTGCTCAGAGTTGGGCAAAGACGACGATTTTTCGGAGGCTCAACTGAGGGACTTAAGTTGTCATCTCAGTAATGATCCACAGACTGTGTGGGTGGAGCTAGGTTCTTATGACAGTCGGTTAAATCGACTACTACAGCTGCTGGTGGATTGGCGTGATTGTTCAGGCGATGGCACGGTCGGTCGACTGATCTCCTCTCTCGAAGCCGTCGGACTGACGGCGATTGTGGCACCGTTACAGGAGAGCCTGCCAGTCTTTGTGATGAAGGAACCAGATGAAAGTGGCTACTAAATACATCTTGTGGTTCTAAAAGTGAGCACCTATTTCTAGGAGAAAATGGGTTTCCGATCATGATGGATAAGATGGCTGTTAGTTATTGTTATACCATCATTAGCCAATATCATGACGTTCATGGTATCTTGATTTATTTTCTATTGCTCACACATTAGTGTTATTGGATTTTTAAATCATCTTCCCACTTTTATGTGAAGATATAGCAGTGGTTTGAACTTGAGGAAGTCTACTTAGGCGAAGCAGATTTTAATTTCGCTCCTTCATCTTCGTTCATCAACTAATTAAACCAAACTGAAAGTTACTAGTTGACTTGAAAGCCACCTTGTGGTTGCAATAAAGCCTTTTGTAAATACCCTACCACCTCGCAGTAGAGGTAGTGGGAAAATTCTCCTCTTTCTTAGGGAATATGTGATTTGTAAGAGTGCAGCATATTACTACCCGTCTATTGTTAAATCCAAAGAGTAAAATGCAGACCTACTATTTATGGGAATTTCGAGCCAAGCAGATAACCTTCGATATTATCAATGCATTGCATCAAAGCACAGTGAGTACGCCGTAGTTAACTTGAAAAGACCACTGACGTAGTCCAAAATTTGCAAAGATGCAGCATCTTCTCCCTAATAAGTAAACAAACTTACTGCCTAGATTCGGGACGTCTAGAACTTCACTATCATTTAACATCAACATCCACTGTTTGAATACACGTACCATCAGAATAGAAGCCAGACCGATTGAGGCGACTTAGCAAGTCAGGCCCCCCCCCATCTACCTTAAAAAAATATTCCTCGGCCAACAGCCCCCGCACCTGCAATCGCAACACTAGGGTAAAAATCTGAAGAAACAGGCATGCACGAAAGAGGATATGAATATGCCTCTAAATATGTGCAGTGTGGAATCACAAACTCTGCCGAACCGTTGCGCATAACTAAATGAAAGTCGAAAATATTGGGTACCCAACTATAAATGAAGAAATATCACGAAGTATGATATCTCTATAGGAGGGCGTGTTGGAATAATTCAGCCTTGGGGATAGGGAAGCGAAGCTCAATCGTGTTTCTTGTTTGCTCGTTTGAAGGAACGCATTCCATCGAGTGCACCACTGATTTTGAACAATATAACCAGAACGGGGTAGGGAAGAATTCTGAAACAAAGTCAAGGTATCGCAAACTGACAGATCCACAACCATACAGACTAACATAGTACAGTCGGTTGTGCTAACATACCGATGCACAAGAGGAATGAACCAGGTTATCCACGGGATGTAGACAGTCCTCTCCCGATAGCGAATTGCCTTAACAATCCGTTTAGCGACTTTCTCAGGCTCCAAAATGGGCAATACAGGTAATCTATAAAGTAAACAAAAAATATTGAAGCACTAAAAACAGCTTTGACTCAACATATTTTAGTTTAAATGCAAAAAGCCACGTCGATGCAAGTGAGAATAGACACCTTATCAACTAACCTAGAATCGAAACCTTCGAACATGCCCGTATCGATAAGAAAAGGACGTATGTCAGTAACTGCAATGCTTTTGCTCATTTCCAAGGCTTCCATTTCAAGACGGAGTGTCTCCGCCATGGCTGATAGCCCCGCCTTTGATGCACAGTAATCACTTAAGCCCGGACAGAGAGTCTGACTTGCAACAGAGGACAGAAACACAAGATGCCCCTTGGCTGGATTATCAAAACATCTCTCCGTATTGCTCACCTCAGGAATAACACGCAGAGATTGTGGGATGCGCTCCATGGCAGTTTTGTAGGCACTACCAAGCATTCCAGGCAAAAACTCCTTTACCAGCTGTTACAATAAAATTAAACCCAATGTACACTAGAAGGAATGAAGCGTACAAATCAAAAGACCTAGAACTTACGTAAAAAGGTGCAAGAAAATTCACTTGGATCAATTTTTCAACTTTCGCCGAGGGAATATCAAGAAGGAAGTTACCATTGACAATAGCAGCGTTGTTAATGAGCATTGTAACTCTTCCATGATCTCTACGAATGCCCGCTGCACACCTTTTAATAGCATTACGGTTACTGAACCAGGTAAATACTAAAAACTGCCAAACCTAACATCACATTCATAGCATACCAGAGAGACATTATGCTGCTTTGAGACGCGCGAGGCAGTTTCTTCCAAGCCGACGATGTCTTTATCGAGGGCAATAATCCTGTCGCAGTATTTTGATAGTAATATTGCTAAAAGTCTGCCAATCCCACTTGCAGCGCCTAACAACCTCAAAACGTGATTAAATGTAAATTACCTGTTATGAGAATGAGGTCCTTCGATAAGTCAGCGGGCTTCCTAAGCAAATATTTGCGGGCTAGAAAAGCGACACAACCAAGAACGGATAGTGCAATCAAAGCGTACAACATTCGCGAATAGAAAAGTATCAACTGAGACACGTCAGGCGACAATTAGAAGGCAAGTAACCGAATAGACCAATACGAAACAAGGGCACCACTCAAAAAAGGCTTTAGATCATAATAAAGAAAAAAACCTTTTGCTGATAGAAAGCCAGACAAATGTCAACTGCACTGACCATCCACTTCAAAAATAATAGTAAGGACAGAGTAATGCTTGGAAGCGAAGCGATTTTGTGACACTCAGTGTAACGACAGTGAATTTGCACTGAAGCAGAAAATTCCCTGCGGACACTTTCAAAACTTCTTAAATGTTTCACTTCGGAAAAAATGCTTTCAAATTTGAAGTATTATGCCATCAAAGAACAATGCACCCTATATACAAACAAATTCGTAGAATACCTACGCTAACAGATGGGTCAAGCACCGAACATGCATGAACAAACTCATATATTGCTACAATACAAGTTTGTTCAATTGTATCTTTAACTCGAAAGGAGGTCAGGAAATGTGATCCTTGTGTTGGATCGAACGGTATCGGTGCCCAAAGGGGGAATATTTCCCAAACTCGCTTAATCCACTATATTTGCAAACCAGTTTTAATCGCTACGCGATAAAGCATGCCCTCATCCAACTTCCTAACTAACTCTAGGAATATATGAGCCAGGACGGAAGACACAAGTGCCTAAGCCATAGGTTGTGCAGGTTCGCCAATTATTAAATTGTTTCTTTCAAGTTAACTGTGGCACTCTAAATCTTTCATGAAGCAGAATGTGTTATCAACCGAGGAGCTGAGAGACCAATTGCATGGCTTGACAACCGTATCATCTGGCGAAAGTACAATCTAAAAAGACTTTAGTTCTGCTTATTCAAGCACTGCGTCAGAACCGCCAGAGCACTATGTGGTAAAATAAAAGCAAAAAACTTTTTGAAGGTGCTGCATAGTTTGCTTTCACGTGATCAAAACAAGCACTTGAATTTGTTAGGATTTGAGGTGTAGCGTATGTATTACAGCATTGGGAAGCGTCTTGCAAATTCGCTGAGCAGGAAGCTTGACATTTCTTGAAACAACAACCTGGGCAAAATTTGATGCATTTTCCTGTGCTTAGTCAACAATAAACAGCGTTAACTGGCGTACGGCAATTAAACACTTTTAAGTCCTACCAGAATGCATTTTGGCGTTTTGTGTTTAATTCATCTAATGTCATTGCCAAATGTGTACTTCCACAATTTTAAACTTGATAGATCTCTCCCGATAAATGGGCGGCCTTGCATTTTGTAGGCGAATTAAAATTGCAATGAATGAATAATTTCACCATTACTTTACTTCAAAAACTAAAATCCTTTAGTGGAATATTTTTAGTCTTTTGTGATGTGTTTTGCGCATTCTTAGTTTTTATAATTAATGTTTGTGATTACCTAGGAGACATTCCTAATTTTCGCGTCTGCTTACCTAAACTGTCTCTTCTACCTCTTCTATATCCACTAATATGCGCTCTGGCAAATTCCTTCTCCGCCTTGTTGGCTTCAAATGGGTGGTCAGGATCCTTATCATGGCTGTGCAATCATCAACAAATTAAGTTTGGCTGCTTTTCGTCTACTCATTTTTATTAGACCATCCACTTTCGGACGTCCGCGAACGTGCATTTGAAAACATTGTTAGTAAACTGAAGCGTGGTTTACTACCTTCGAGTTATCTATCGGATGTTATTGAAATTGTATTGTCTGCCCTAAAGAGTGAAGTAAACGTTCAGTTAGTTGATGTGCTTTATCACATCAGCCTGGTAATGCTACCAAAAATCTGCTATTTTTAGCTTCCTAATGGATGCGCTCTCCTCCTCAAGAGTGGTGTAGTGGAATTTTTAATGGATTTGCTATCTAAAGCAAACTTTCAAGCCGGCCGTCATGCTATCCAGTCGATTTTGTCTAATATTTTGTCTGTAAGCACTGGGGCTTTGCAGAGTTTCAACATTGTTAATGAAGTTGCATATCCCGTTTGCGACGTTTCAACATTGGACTCGAACAGTATGACTAACTATATTCACGATAAAGTGGCTGCTAAAGTCGACACTTTATCATGTCATGAGAATCTTCAGTTGTCTCTGTTACAAAGCACATTAACCGTCTCACAATATGCAGGTACAATTTTGTAAATTTGAAAATTATTTTAAAGGCTTTCTTGTTGATTATTTACCGAAGGCGGTCGTTTCTAAAAATGATTCTTGCTACCTTTCGAACTTCCTTCGGTGTGTTTCTAGATTGGTTACTGATTCTTTTGCTAGGAAACTTTTGAATACAAGTGAACCTACCATTTTGCCCAAACTTTACCATCTGGATTATGTGATTCTCAACGATTTTCCTGTTGAGTTTTTCGCACAAAATCCGGCTGTCGTTCAGGTAGTTTCTTCAATTTAACGACCCATGAACTTAGTTTTTATCCGTCTTGATTGCCGCATCAAAGAGTACTCGTGTTAAAATAACATCGGCCGAGGTTTTGGTCGGTCTCTGCCACAAAATAGCTGCTCGTATGCAGTACTTTGAAAATCCGAACAATTACTGTTTATTACTGGGTAGGTGTGCAATTTATGGTGGTAGGATGACTTAATTCCTTCCTTTAGGTGATGGGAGCATTGATTCTTCGGATCAAGAGTAAGTTAAACGCATATGCTTTGGTATTGGTTTGCAACCAATTCAAGAAGTTTGATAATCGGATGTCCTATCCCAACTTTTTAAAGTTGCTAACTTAGTCGTTAGATTATTTGCCATCATGTGAATGCTTTTTTTCGGGTTTGGTTGCATGTATAGCAGTCATGTCTTCTACATCGACGCTCTTTAACCTAACACTTTTCATCTATCATTTCATGTTGAAATTCGTATTTGATCAAGTAAATTTCTCTGTAAATTCACCGAAAATGATGTAGCACGAAATTGGTTTCATTGTGGTATTTACCGTGTGAGAGGAGTTATTGTGTTTTTAGTACTATCATTTGTGTTGCCCAGCAAGTAAATAATTATTCGAGGAAACGATAAACGGTGATAAGTGCCTAGCTAAGGTCGTCAGTGACAACTTCTGACTGAAGAACCTCTCTTAACGTCTTGTTTAATGTAATCACCCTCTTCTTTCCACAAGCGAAACATCGAGCGCTATTAGGTCAATCCTCTCCGAGGCGCCAATGTCAGCCTTTGTGAGTAGCAGTTTGCTACCACCAAGTGTCATCCAGGTGTCACCGAAGCCCACTCTCCCCACACTCTGTGTTGCAATCATGAGCGCCGCATTGTCAGGCTTCACCTCACCTCGTGCTGCCGTCCAGGGCGCGCTGCTACGTCTGCTGAACACCTCCGTGGACGTTTTTCTTGGCTGCACTCACGTCGGTGCTATGGGTCAGTTAGTTGCCTTGGATTTTCTTGGCACAGTAAAACCGCCATCTGAAGACTCCCTACCCTCACATAACGTGGTGAGTTAGTTTTATTTTGCCGGATCGGAGGATAGCATATGTACGTTTACGTTTAATGGTACATTATTTAACTATTACATACAAATTCATGGAAGTATTTTGAAGACTACCTATTAAATCGCCTCATGATTCAGATTCAAATTCAAAACTTTCAAATGCAATTTGGCTTGTCATCGTAAATAGGGGAACATTTCCCAAAAGCATACCGATTTGATTAAAAACTTCTTTTTTAGTTAACAATGGTAGACAATTTATCAGGAACCATCCTGTGATGATTTGCATTCAATCTTGTAATGGCTTACCCACTTTCACTGTTATTTCTTATTCACAGAGAGAAATCATAGAAAGGTTTGTGAATAGTTGTATCTGTAGATTTTTATTTGCATTGTGTGCATCAGACACCGGGATTCGATGATATGCTGGAGCTGTGGGGCATAATGCTTTCGGCATACTCGAGAGATTGGCGTAGCGATCTGAACTCTAGCGGCGCCTCTGAGGGTTGTCGTCAGCAGAAGTTTGAACATTCTCGATCTGTCTACGTTGGTCTGCTGCGTGCCCTCTTTCGTCTCCTCTCTGCTCTTTGGACCCCAGAATCGGTAATTTCCTAATTACAAGGGTCTATCTTCCCATCACTGTGGATCAAGCTTAGGCACAGTCCACTTCCTAGCATTATAAATTAATCTAAAGAAGAGGCTTAGGCGCAGCTTGAGACATAATTTTTGAATATCAGTAGTTGGATATTGGAAAATATCGAATTAATAATTACTGAAAATTCGTCATCTACAAAACTTTTTCAATGGCCTTCGAGGATGCAGTGACTTTTGTGGGCTACTGAAGGTTGAGTTTAAATTTCCCAGGTTTCAGTATTATTTTATTCCATCGATATTCAATGCAACTTTTTGAAAAAGGTCTTTGTACGCTGATTTTATTCACCTATAATTGAGATGCTGGTCAGTATTGGTTCATTTTGTGACCTATCAAAAGTTTTTCTTAGTACTACTATTATTTCCGAATAAACTTGGTTTTGCAAATTGAATAAATGGCAGTAGAATACATGAATATCGCCGAACTATTTAAATCTTCTCACTTATATTTATGTAAATAGAAAAGGTCTGCTCTTAAAGACCGTTACTTGTGTGCTCAACGGTTTCTGTAGTGGAACCTTTTATATCTTTTTTCATCCATCCCGTAGTGCTCCCGTTTGTTGCCCTCAGTGACGTCCTTCGAGCTCTCACTGGGGCTTCTGGACTGCCACCTCATCTACCCCGCCACCGCTGCTGTCTCGACGACAGATGCTGTCGGCCTGTCCGCCTACGTGCGCCTCCTTGACCCTGAGATCGCCCTCCTTCGCGGGCGACTGGTCAATCTCCTCCACGTAGCCACGTCTGCCGTAGCCTTCGTTCGGGGTTTGTATTCCCTCCAGGTTAGCTGTCACGAAGCATTTTACCCGTATAACCTTCCAAGCATAGAAAAATGGGATGAAGCTTGGGGTTTTTGGCGTTATATGTTACAACTTCATGTTAGCGTTTTACGCATGTACTTTAAAGTTGTTTCATCTGTCAGGATTTAGCCAGATCTCAGGTCTTTTAGGTATGGAGATGGTATTAAGTATTTGCTTTAATGGGTCTTCTAGCCAAGTTAGCTGAAACGGATAAATCTTCATTCCGCTTATTTGCTCATCCGTTCGGGTTTATTTCTTACTTCTACGCTACAAACGCACCTTGATCGTTCGTGTTTTTGAACTGAAATATCTATTTTTGGTTTAAGTTTGTGAGACAGTAATTTCTATGCAAAAAGCTTGAAAACGTTTCCTTTAAAAAGTTAAGTATGTTTGTTCTTGACTAACTTTGTCAACTTTTCTGCGGTTACATACATTGTCAGTTTGAGATAAATGCATGAGGAATGGTTAAGAATATGTTGTAATTTTTTCCTCCACTTTAATTACGGAACCCTTTCGGAGGACAAAATATTTTGGGGATATTTTGAATAAGATATGCTTGCCATCGACCGAGTGTTACCACGGCACCTAGTTGAGTCAAAGTAGTTAAAGTTGATGGTTAAGAAATACAAAGTTGCAAATGTTTATTTCACCCGTCTAAAAATATCTTCTCATGCATCACATGAACATGGGTAATTCTAAGCCTAACTTTGAATTTTAATTCGACCTAGCTCTTCATTGCGTTCATACCATAAGTGGACGCTTTTTACTAGTAGACATATTCACTCAAATGCTCCAAATTGCCGGAAGATTTGTACTTATCCGAAAACATTTGTATAGTTCTCTTCAATGGCTCGTTGTGATTTTTACCTTCAAATGTCCGAAGGTCAAGATAATGGACACTTGATTGCATTCAGCCTCAGGCAAATTGGTTTCTAAGGTAATACCGTTTACTTTTAATAAATCCACCAATTTCCTCCTTTTTAGGGGGCGGAAAAGTCTGCATTGGAAGACCTAATGAAACAAGCTGTAGATGGATTGGGTGCTGTCGAGTTTTTCTTTGAAAGTTACATTCCAAAATTTGTAAAGTTTCTCTCCGAAATGTACGTCAGTTGCGTTCTCTTGAATTTACGTATGGCAAGAGGTTGATATCTTACTTTACGGTTCCTAAGTGTTGTTTTCTTTCTGTTTGGTTTCAGGCCACTGATCGTAGAGGAGTCAATCTGTGGTACCTTGCTAGCTCAGGGCAGATCATATCTACTAATGCTTCTCGCTCACCCCTTCAACGGTATCCGAAAGGTTACATATGCACAAATTTGGGATGTTCTTTCAGTAAGTTGCTACTTCCTCAATCGCCAACTTACTGCGTAAGCCATAGAATTGTAAAGGCTTTGTTTAGATTTTGCACTTCTCATTTATTTCCTCAAAATTTTGTGTTATTTGGCTACATATCTGTTGGAGTATTCAGCTGATTATTTTACAGCAAATAAGCATGTTTTCAAACGTTATTGTTCCCAAGACTTTTTTTATTCACTAAGACAAACATCTCAATCAATCTGGCAGCAGATCCAACGTCATTTCGCTACAAATGCCTTACTTTTGTTCTCACCCCCGAAATCCTCGGCGAAATTGTCGAATTCGGCCTGCACGACTCAGTTCCAGAGGTTGGTCAGCTACTATTTCTAACGATGCCACTTCTCTAGATCGTTTCAACTGCTCAAACATGCCTTCGTATCCTCCTTGACGCACACCAACTCATTCCGCAACCTATGTGGCTTCTACTCGTAAATCTCCTCGTAGAATCACCTAACGAAACCTTGGAACTCAATTGCCTTCCCACCAGCGCCGACTGGCGTCCCCTGAAACCTCTTCTTTCCCTCGGGATCGCTCCACTTGCTGCCTCCCCCGGCAATGAGCTCCTTACGGAGCGTGTTCTAGACGCCTGTCTAGGTGTTGGTGGCTTCGCAGACGTTCACCCCATCCCATTGGCACCACTCCTGCCTTTACTCTACCTCCCTCTATCAACAGTCCGTCTGAAAGCTGCTGAGTTGATTGTCCGCATTCTCGCCACCATTTTCCATGTGGTGGAGGAGGTGATAGAAGTGGTCTTGTCAGTGGAAGAGACGCTGTGTGATCTTCTCCTCTTCGCCTCTTCTGAAGCCACGCCTTCGGTGAAGGAGGTCATTTTTCATGACGTTGTCTATCAGTCGCCCACTGTGATGAATGATTTCAGTGAGCTCGTGGCAGCACTGGACAATGCGTTAGATTTGGTGACCGACGAGGTGGCTACTGTGGAAGTTCGGCGTGCTGCCGGAGAACAGGTTTTGGCAATTATCACATGTGAGCAAATGTCTGTATTAGTATTTGGGTGTGTCTATTATTTGCATAAAATAAATGGGATATTGCCTTTTCGAGGCATTATTATGTCGTTGATTACTTCATTTGATTGGTTCATTGCATAGATCTTGAACTAGATGATTTTTATGCACCTCTAATGTCAATAGCATTAAGATAAATATTCATAAAATCAGATGAATTAATTTTATTAAAGCATCAATAGCTTAAATGCTGTGTTCAGGTTAAAATAGAGGACCGAAAGCTTTTCGGGGTAAAAGATTCCTTATTTTGATTTCTTAGCTTTTAAAGAATGTACTGACTATTAAAAAAAGTGATTCAGAGTTTAATGTTAAGGCACACCAGAGTGGTACTGTACTGAAATGCACTTTATTCTAATTTGCTATTTTCTAATGACCATTTATATTTCATTTTGCGAAATACTATTTTGTTTTTAGGCGGATGATTAAAGCTAGTTAAACGGAATACTTATGCATATTACTGGAAATAAACGTTTATAATCACGTTGAAATGCAGAATTAGCCTTTCAACAGTGTGGTTGATTTTACACGTTAAGTTAGTGGGCATAGGGTGTCTTCTTTTTATGCATGCGAACGTTAAGGATGTTACTTAAATCCAAGTTAATTAACTTTTATTCTCCGTACTTTAAGAATGCTTCTCATTTTAAAAATTTACCTTGTGTACTTTGCAGTGTTGTTTAGCATCCTAAACTTCTTACCTACTACCTGGTAAAGAACCAACATTTTTGGTGACTTTAGGAACTTATTCGCCTCTACATTAATTCTCTCGCGAAAAGTGGGGAATTCTCCATAAATGTACCAGAACACTGTTTTAAAGATACCTCTTCTGTCTTTAAGCACCTATCGGTCTAACTTGTTGGCACGAGGTGGGCGGTCCCCCCATCCTCATCGGGTGGATTTCTACGTTGCCAAGTGCCGTGGGCCAGACTCTGGCTAGCAAGCTTCTCATCGAACCCATAGTGCTCATTCAATTGGCCATCGCCCATTATATCATTACACATGACTTCGACTCTCGCACTCAGCTCTACCTTAACCAATCCACCTGTCTTCTTCCTCTCCTTTTCAGTAGGTCGGCCGCGCTTAAAATGCTTGTTCTAACGGCTCTTTTGCACCTTAGTTGGACTATGCTTTTGGAAGGTGGACGAAATTCGCCGATGTGTTTCGACGATCATTGCTCTGGTCATCTTCACCCCTGCAATTAGGTTTTCTGACGAGTAAGTCAATGCATTTCAGCCTCTAGCAAAAATGGCTGTCTGGTGATTCATTTATCTCTTATGATAAGGAAATTCAACTCCCAAATAGTTGTGCATCTTATGCTTAAACAGCCTTGCAGTTCAGGCATTACGAACTGCTCCAAAAGACATAATTGAATTTATGGAATCAAGATGTAAGGGGATCTACTTCAGTTAAAGCGAATAGACTGTACTTTAAAAATGGCTTCCCACTTCCAAAAAGTTGTCGTATTTAAGCTAGTGCTACTTGAAATGTCGTAGTAGATTTTTAACTGGCATTGATCATAATTTGGTGAGTGTTATCTGTTTTGCAGGCAGTTCGACATCTAAAATAGTCCTTTCAGCAAAATCACAATTTGAGGTTTGTATTTTGGAGAACCCTTTCAATAAAATTAAGCTACTGAAATACGTCGCCATTCAGTGACCTTTGCGGAACCTTCGCGTCCATCATTGGCAATTACATCGATGCTAGCATTGATATTTATAGTGATGGCAGGGTAGTAACTGTTAATTTTATCCGTATCAGTATCAACATTTTTGTATCATCGCAAAACTGACGGTTCAATTCAAACCATTCTACGATTATCACAGCTGACCTCAACATTATCTCAAGAATAATCTGCCTTTCCCCATTTTCATGAGCTCAGAATCAACCCCCTTCCAGTAACTATTGTTATAGAATAATACGGAAAGCCGTATTAGTGTGGGAGGTTACAATGGTTATTTTTTATCAACGTCAGTGTCAGCTAATCCAACTCTTTTAAATGATCGATGACTTAAATAGTTCCCGAATATTATTTAGACAAACTTCTAATTGTAAGGACCACGCAGAGGTCTCCATGATTTTTCGGCTGAATCAATACAATTCACACGCATAAAATTTTAGCGGTGTAAAATTTACGTGCTAGAAGTTTGCTAAATGGAAGGTGTGATCGGTTTTAGCACTAGTGGTCACATTATTGTCACAATTGCGAATTTTATCAGTGCTGAGGTGGTGATTGTTGGTTGTAGTCCTAGTTGACGCGCTTAGTATAGCAAAGTTAGAAACACTATGATCCCATTTTTTTATTTTAAATTCTCTTAATGCGCTATCTTCACAGATCTCCCGTGTGTCTGCCACAGGCAATCGTTCGCTCCTTCTGTCTGCCCTTCGTCTGTCCTATCTACTACCTCCAATCGCGCCACTGCATTGAACAACCTGACTTCTCACGTCTCCTTCAACACCTCATTAACGCTCGTTCCCTGTCCGCCCTGTCTTCACAGCGGACACGAGTGGTGACAGTGGCGGTGGTCAGGGCTCTGCGTGTCATCTGGCATTCCCTTCTTGAAGGCGAGGTCACTCTGGCAACGTGAGTTTTTGACTTCTCTGGTGCTCGTAAAGCTATATCAGTATATCATTCGAACCAATCTGCAAATGTTGATAGCTTTCAAGTAACTGAATAGAAAAATAACTTTCCTGGTTAGGCGTTGGCCAGTTAAATTATTCGTGTAATTGTACCATTCTGAAGCCATTTTTATCTATTATTTTTTGTATCGACCCATTGAAGATGTCAGTTTTTGTGTTACCTCTATGCCGGACAGCTTCATGATGATTACTAGTTTACTGAGGGTCTTTTCAATCGTCTTTTAATCTTTTAAAACTAGGCGTGCTACGTTTACATTGCGTCAATGGCTGAAAATTATTATTTACGCTTTTATAGTGTTTCATATGCAGTATTACAGTAATTGAATGTATGCCTTGCCGACAACTAAGTAATTCCCCAAGTTCCTTTTATAGAGCAATCACTAAATCACATGAAATGAGTTGCATTATCATTAGGTACCGTTTACAAAAAGGCTTTTCATCATTACTCTCGTTATTATTTTTTGAAGCACCAGATTTTTCAGAGTTCGTTCATTTTGATGTTTGGACTAAGAAACCCAATTCAAATACAGTATTTTATTTTTGTTTCTTAGATCAGTTCTGCCCTTATTATTAATTTGGACTTATTTTGTCCAATACTCGTGAAAAGTAGGCTTCCGAACTATTTAACGAAATCATTGAGAAAAGTTCCTGCTTTTCAAATTTTTTAAGTACACTTGCACTGCTCAGACTTCAAACCCTTCTACTTTGCTCCCAGTGATCCACTTCTGAAGTGCACAGCCACGGAATCTGCCATCATAGAGGCAACTCAGCTCTCCAGCGCCATTCCACGCGCCCTCCACGCCATCAGGATGTCCAAATCTCATATAGAGGCCTCTGTGAATATGAGCCACCTCCATCTGCTCTCCGTCGTCTTTTGGCGCAGCCCCAAAAGCTGTATGACATGGTGGCACGAGGCCGATTTGGCCCGCTTTCTTCAAGTCCTGCCCTCCTGCACCGATGACTATCGCTTGCTCATTCACTGCCTTCAAACGCTGACCAACCTGAATTTTAGCCCACCTTATTGTAATCCCAATACAATTTCGGTGAGTGGCAACCCTCCTTTCCTTTTTTTAACTCAGCGGAGATTATTCTCGTCAGACCTATTTGTGAAGTTCAGGAAATTAGGCGAAATGACCTTTTGTTACACTTGAAATTTTGAGGTTCAAGTTTTGTATGCTCCATTACCAAGATTGAAAATTTTCCTGACTCAGAAAACTCTGGGTACTAGTTGCGTAACAAAGAAACCGCTTTAAATTCCCTTCCTAAAGTTATATGCGTGGGTTCACTGATTGTCACAGCCCTCTCATTGTTCAGCTTGAATTTTTTTTAGTTGAAAGCTGAATTTGCATTCCTTTTGGGGCGAATTTTCTCGTAGAGAAATTTCTCATTTTTACTTGTTCTTTTGATTGATACCATTCTACAATAAAGACACAACACCCTGAGCCCTCTTCAACCTCTGACTATAACGCATTATACTCTGTCTGAACTCCTTGAAATTTACTTTCATTACATCTTAGGAGTGTCACAGTTTTCTTTAAATTTACAATAAAGTGGTAGTCAGATCATATAATTTCCAAATTTATCGAGCCTTATGATAATGCGATTTGGAAAATTTTGTGTTTGAAATACCTGAAATTGCATGTTCGTAAGACATACAACTCCTATATGATGTACGTTTTGTTCCGATTCGCTGTAGATGTCTGTTCAACCTCAGGTTAGTCGCAATTAAACCTTGTTTTGAGGAGTTGGAACCTATTATAAGCCCTACACGTTATGCTGCCTGCTTTTCACCAGTGCTTACCACTTTCAAAAAACCACTGTGGCCGATAGTAACAAGTATGGGGATCAAAATACGATAAGACGCTATCCTTATTTCTAAGATGCACATCATTGCAAATATGTAGATAAACAAGGATCATCGCTCGAATGCTACCCGAAGACTAATCATACGAAACTTTTGGAAACGACACAATTGGAATTGCGTGTATTGCCTTGAGGTCCTTAAAACATAGTTAAATGCTTTAAGACAGTGCAACAATCATTACGCTACGTGCTCTGTCATTAAAAATGTTGTGGATCTTGTAGAACTAGAAGGTCAAGCTTTCTGGAGTTGACACTTGAAATCATGTTATTGGTTTCCGACCAGTTGACATTAAATAGCCTTCATGCTCTAGATGTCCAAGTGGATGTTGGAAGAAATCATGACGACTGCTTCACCGCTGTCCTACTTGATGCGCCGTTTTGACGCAGGCGTTGGTGCCACAGATAGCAGACGTCTGGTGGAGGCAAAGTCCACCCTTCACTTTCACACTCTTCCACGCCTTTTCGATGCCCTCCTTGCCTGCGAGGACTTCGTCGCCGACGTTGATGTCTACGCCCTGGAGCAACCTACACCAGTTGTCTCATCGGGAGAACTTTCGAGGTGGAATTACCACAGTGAATGTTTTTGCAAAAGGCAACATAAAACATTGAAAAATTGTAAAAACTTGATAAATATTGTACCTTTACCCTTACGGGGATAATTTTTTAGCGGTTTTAATTAAATCTCTCGTAATTTATGCCGGAAAAAGGCATCTTTTAGGCACAGTTTTTTGGAAAATTGATCCAGGGTATGTGCGTTTGTTACTAATGGGAAAGTTCGTCAAAAGCTACATTCGGGAGGTAGATTTTGTGGCTCGACTCTGTCTGAATAGTTGTTTTTGGTGGTGGTATTTGATAGCTTTTGGTTTTAGCGAGAACGAAATGGGCTGCTACCTCAGCCATTTTGAATCAAAGTATTCTTTATATAATTTGCAGACATTTTCTAAACAGTATTTAGTTTGCGAAGCTGCATTACCACCAAGCAATTTTGACTAGAACCTGGTCACTAGTTGTTAATTTTTTGTGATACGTTGCTGCTTTATTCTAGTGTTGTCCGAAATGACCCTCCATAACCATTCTGTATTATAAATTATCGAGAAATCCACCGTCAAATTGCCGAACTTTCCCTCTTTTAAATATGATTTCATGCATTTTGTGATCCGCTATCGTGTCACACTGCATATTTCGGTGCGCTAGTTGCGCCGTTACTTTGTCTTAATCACCCAGACACTCCGTGCTATTGTAAAGTTTTAATACACTCGGCTAAATTTTAATCATCCTTCAGCACTTCCCATCTAAAAAATGGAACCTCTCTGATCCGAACACATTGCTTCTGCTTCCAACTTGTAATGGATGCGGTTTGCATAGGCAACAACAGGGTGGCTGTTTTGCTCTAAAATGCCCTAACATAGGAAGGAAGAGAAGTGGAAGACACCTGGCGAAGGCGCCTGTCCGAATCGTACACGAGCTGAGCACTGCATAACGCCGACATCGCAGGACACTAGCCCTGCGTTTTCTGTAGACAGCTTATACATGGGTACGGATGATTAACATGCTTGTGGGTAGTGTCTAGATCATTATGTACCTCAACCTTCTAGTCATGCACGAGTCATCCGCAGTCTAGGGCGCTGAGATTGTCTGTCAAGACTGGATGGACGTCCTCAGCCCTATCTTGTGGTCCTGTTGTCCTATCTGCACGATCGGCTCATGTGGACGAGTACAAACAGTAGGTACAATGCAGTGACCACCGCAGATTTGACGTACACACCTTAAACTTTGTGGGCCTTTTTTATGAAATTTGGATTGAGAGTGCTTAATTTGTTAATATTACCATAGAATTTAAATCAATATAATTGGCAGAAGCTCAAGACTGAACTTTGTCGTTGAATTACTTTAACTTTTGATTTACAAAAATGGAACTTTGCTTACTTCTAATGAAAAAAAACCTGAACGGCCAAAAGTTGGCGTCCTTTAGTTTACTACCTCTCATGCCTTGTGGTTTTGCTCTTTTCTCACTACTTGCACTTAAGGGCTATCTAACCTTGGGATTTCAGGTTGAAAGACGACTTTGCAGCTCTGCATTTCCTTTTTCAATGGGCTCTCAAGTTTATCGAACTTCACGCAAATTCCCTGAATGAGCACATCGTCCCCCTTCACACATCCGTCAGAATCCTTCAGCGCATTACTTTGAGGTATGTTGACGACATTTCGCCAGTCTTGGTGCCTCACCGAATCCTTTCTTCCCCTCATTTCAGAACTTCCTGGATAGCTGGTGTGCAACAGATCGATGCCACACTCAGAGAGCTTTTCCAGCAAACGATCCACCTGATCAGGTGCATTTTGGAAGCCGAGAAGCACGCCTGCCTACACGGTGGCATTCTGTACTCTTCACTAGCACTCCTGCACAACGCTCTGCTTCTACTCACTTCCGAATGTCGGGATTCTATTACATCGTTTGAGGCTTATTCAATTTCGCCTTGGCTTTTTCAGTTAACTCATCAAGGCTACAACATGGAGGTCTGTGCCCTACAGAGCTGCTACATAGTATCTACTTCCTCTAATTAGAGTAGAGTTCATTTTCCTCATTAATTTAGATTCGCTGTTTGACTGTCACACTGCTTGCGCAGGTGGTTTTGCTTAACAATTTTGAGGAAAAATCGCCTGATATTTGGAATATGGCTTTCTCTCTACTCTTGAACTCAACTGAATCTCCAAAGATGCGGGCAGCTGCAGCTCATTTGCTTGCAAACTTGACCGCTCGCTTTCAAGAAATTGACTTTTCGGTAGATTCTGAGATTTCTGACAACCCTCTTGTACCTACTTTTGTGGATCCACAAACTGAAGTAAATTTGGAATAAACTTTTACTGTTTAACGTAGCTTTTCTTGATGTCATTTCGCTTTTTTTTAGAGGCGTCTTGTTGGAACTGATGCAATTCGAAGGATGTTGGAAGTGTTTAATTTCTTTCCATTGATGTGTGAAATGTTGACAAACTATTATGCCTTACCAGAATTGTCAGAAGAAATGCGAAGGAACTGCCCTTCTGCCAGGGACAATGGAGGAAGTAGAAAAGTAATCATTGTACCATTTCGAATTCATACTTCCCACATTTAATGAATTGTACTAATCCTCTAAAAATGTTATTTGTTTTTATCAATAATGGCGAATGTTTACGTTGTTGAATGCCACAATTTTTCACAGCAACAAAGGTGATATTTTAGGTCAGTTATAGTAGTTTTGTCTCAATTTGTGATAGAACGTTGAAAATCCCCAAAATGGGTCACTCCGGCAAAATTCCTGTGCTTTTTCAACTCCCCTTCTCATCGGTCGAGTTTGCAGTTTCCTTGCAAACCTCTGTCACGCCCTTCCACCTGAATTTATCCTCCGAAACTTTGAAGAAAACCGTCTTTGCGTTGCACTGATGAAAGTCATTAATCCAAGTAGGTGTATGGAATGAGGAACTACCCTTCTTTTGTGGAAGTTATCACCCAGCGAATAAGAAATCATAAAAATCGGTACCAGATAAAAACTATAGGTTTTATCGCATCGGCTCGTTTTACATCATTTTCCGCATAAGTTTATGCAGAGAGAATTGTTTCTACCTTTTATTTTAACGTTTACCATTTTACTGCATGAAATTAGTCGACTATGTTTGTTCCCATGGTGTCTAAGTTTGTAGATATTTTGATTCTCTTGCTGCTAAATAATAGTCCCACTTGTTTAAGTTTCTACCGATTCGTTGTTTTGGGAAATTTCGTTCTCAAAGCAATAGTTCAGCTTTCTAACTTTGATGCATCACCTTGTCAGAGATCAAAAGTTAAGACCCACTGAACCAACCAATATTATAATAATATCTACTACTATAGCCATCCTTTCCTTATCTCTTTAACAGGCTATGCTTTTTAGAAGCTTATTTGACATTTAAGATTTAGCATGATGCTTTTACTTCTGTTTATTCCACCAGAGTTTATCGTGGATTTACCAAAAAATCTTGATTTCACCTACAGTGCGGTCCCGTGTAGTCGTTTAAATCATGATTATTGCTTGTGAACAACTGTTGGCAATCTGTTGCCTTTGTGATTGTGATTGATAGTTTAGTGGCAAAACAATTTTTTCTGTTTACCATAGTTAAAAGCTGGCTCACACAAATCCGCTCATGCTTCCCCTTTTCAGCCCCGTATTTGATGATTGAGCGGAGTATGATTAGTATATTTGCTTGTTATTTCGCAGAGTTGCTACACCGTTTGACTGCTAGCAGAGACAATTCTCGTCCAAATATCATGGCGCATATGGCGGCACGCCACTCGGCCTCAGCTTTTACACAAATTCTCCGTCTCTTTCGCCTCCTATTTTCCATTAGCCCGCAGCAGAAGCTCACCTTTTTTTCCGATCTTCGATTTCTCACTCTTCTAGCAACCGGCTTCTCTTGTTTCTCACTTGGTGCGTTTCATTGTGCTCTTGCATCTCCTCTACTTCTGATTCTTCCATGATAATCCAGTGCTTCTGCTAATGTATCTGCCTTCACTAGAAATCACTCACTTAAGACAGCTCTCTTGTATCGAGCTGGAACTGTAATTATAGTTTTTGTGACTTATTAAATTATTACTAGTCTTTTCATGAATGAAATTGGAAAGTTTCATGCATAGGGAGTCCACGCTATTGCCTGAACTTGGAATTAATCAAACCACTTTTGAATTTCTAGGTCAAATCAGACCACTTTGTTTATTCCCAGATTATTTTTTCTTAGATTTCGCATTTTAGATAACTGGTGTCATTCAATTATCTCTAGCCTAAATTGTCTGTGCTCTTTACTAGACTTCTCAAGTGCCTATATTTTGGGAAAATTGTGGAAAAATTTTAAACAACGAAATGTCTTTTTGTTTAGCTATGGAATTCAACCGTTTATGGGCACTTAGTGTACTGGTTTTAATGTCTATCAAGACTTGAGGGTTATTTCGGTAATTTTTCTACCCACTTGAATAGTTAATCCAAACTTTTTTCGCAATTTTTTATTTATATTCGGAAATTAATTTAGTTGGCGTAAATGTCACATGACAGTCTTATCTCTGGTACTCTAATCATTTTTCAAAGTTCAATTTGTTTCTTCCAAATCAGAATGTAACGACATCCGAATTTCATTGAAGTTTCTGTTCGACTAACGACGATTTCGTTCATTTTAATCTCTTACTCAATCACCTTTTCATAACTGTAAATTCGTTTGTCTGCGCGTCTTCAGACTCGGTGGATCTCAGAAGTCTATGTAAGGAGACGATGCTCTTCTTCATAGCCATCCTGGAGCCAGAGACGGAGGGTGCGGAAGACTTCCTGCTGCGTCACGCCCTCTACCCTCTGGCCTCACAGGTGCACCAGTGGGGTCCGCTCATCGACCGACTGCTCCGTGGAGTGGTCGACCTCAACGGCACCTCTCCCACTGGAGGTTCTGCATGCAGTGACGTGTCACGGTAGGTGCTGATGGATATGGCCCAATCTAATATTCATTATATAGATCTCTATTATTACTGCTACCACCCAAGACAGTGTAGTAAGTTGTCGATAAAGTTTGACGTTAGTCACTATCATTAATGTCGGAAACCACGCCTAATGTACAGGTTATTTGAAGGTCGATATTACCATTCTTATTAAACTACTAAAAAAGCGTTTCAAGAATAAGCTAAATATCTACTCTGATTTTAAATCACGCTAGATTGTAACGTAGACAATGTGTTTGTTTTCCCATTTATTGATTTCATACCGGTAAACGTAACTTTGTTACTAGGTGCATTGTATTACTTAAGTTGAATTCTCTAGTCGGGTTGTCACTTCCAAATTGAACACTTCTCTATTTTGGACTATTAAACCCATTTCCATTTTTTAAAATTTGGCTTGTGTAAGGACTACAGCAGTCACTTCTTCCACCTTACTTTAAATCATTTGGACTTCATTATCCCCCCCTTTTCGTCCCCACGAATCGTTAATTAGTGAAATGCACACCTCTCTTCTTCCCCTCCTCTCTCTACTGCTGGTGCTGTTATTCCTGTTTATGATGACGTGTTTCAGGTGTCAGCGCACTTTGTAACTAATGGAGGGCTCAAAGCCCTTCCCTCTCATACCATTCCCCTCTAGCACAAGCAAAACCACACGAGCGTACACACCCCTTGATGCCGTCATCAACGCACTAATGTATTTGCTCGGTAATGTGCGAATACTGTGGATGTCTTTAAAGAGTCAACACCAATTATCTGGCCTTGGTAGGGAGACGAAATGGAAATATGATAGTTGTTTTTTTCGTGTAGTTGTGTTAAATTTGATCTTGAAGCGTCTTAGCAGGAGTTATTAATAATTCCCGTCGTAAAGGAACGCCGGTTTTAGTTCTTTTTTTCCGAAATAGGCATGTCTTAAAGGATGAATCCCACCACTCGTTTATGCGTTCTTTTACCTAAACTAAACTATTTACAACTGACATTCAATGTTCTGTATTTCGGCTTTGTCGTTTCATCGGTACTTTTCGGCTGAAATAGTTTTGCATGATATTCCTACTTGTCTTTTATTCTCTGATAGTATTATTAGGCTTACCATTAACCCACCAGTTTTGGCAATTAACAGCATATTTTTGTCCAAGTATGGCCTTGCACAATTCGTTGTTCGAACAAGACAAGTTGTATGATAGTCTGGAAACATTTTTCAAGTATTTTCTGTATCGCAATTTAAACCTTTTGGGCAGCGGGGGATTTCTTAAAACATTCAATTATTCTTTACTTGATTCACATCGGAATAGCTGTTTCTGTACTCATGAGATCATTTTATCCATCTAGGAATAGTTTTTTTCTGATGAATAAGATTGGCTTGCACTTTGGTGGATCATTGAATTACTTTTAGCTGGCATAAGTTCCTTCCAATTGTTTTACCTTACGATCATTAAACTTAACAATACTCTCTTTGGTTGTCTAATGAAATTGATTTTTGAATAAATTGCATCTCTATAAAAACAGGCGCTGATAATATCCAAACATAGCAGTACATTTTTTCCCTTCATTTTGGCAGGTTGACGACGTTTGAACTACTTCACGTTGCACTCATATTCCTCTCCGTCATTCTTTCGTGTTGCGCCTCGCACACCTTTGAGGCCCTAAAACAGCCCAACGCATCTGATTCCTCCACCATTGCACCTCGATTTGTCAATCCGGTCCCAGCTGCTCTGGATGCCGCCGCATCAGGACAGATTGCTACGGCTCTTATCTCTCTGGAGACATCTTTTCCGCATCCCAGAATAGATCTGGATGGTGTTCTTCTCGACAGTGGAGTTGCAGAGGGTGGTGATCCAGAAAGTCCACACATGTTTTGGCATTTGGAGATCAACAGACAGGCGGTGCATTCAGCGCTGAAGATACTCTTTTGCACTTCGTCTGCGGCCAAGAAGGCAGCACTTGAAGGTGGGATGACAGGAAGGGTTGTGTATACATTCTCCAACTTCTGCTCTTGTTGCTTGCGGTTTCTTGAAAATCATAGTACTCTAGAAGTCTGGAATGGTGCAGTTACCCTCGAATAAGACGCTATGGTGTTGTCTTTCCTGTGAGTTATCTAAACAAAGTGTCAAACTCCGCATACCTTGTTCAGGAAAACGCATCTAACTCACGTGGCTTTTAATGAAATTTATAATACGGATATAGCAAGGATTCGATTTATTTGAGCGGATTTTGGCTTTGCTGCTACTTGAGCGATTCCTTCTCGAATATCGGAGTAATTCAATTGTCAATTTTCGACCCATTAACCAAACACAGTTCGTAATATTCGGTTAACCATGAGACCTCGGTTTAAATTTCTCAATGAAAATATCGCTAAAAAACATCCCAGTTTTATTTACCTGGGCTCTTGTATTTGTCCTTTATATGTTTGGGACAAGAATTGTGTTTTCTTAAACATTTAGTTGTGTGAGGTCATTTTATGGTGGAATATGATGCCAATCCACAGTTTTCCCACTTTACTTAATCTCTTACGGCAACAAACAATTTAATAAATGCGTGTCATTCTGTTGAAGGCAGACTTGGATACTGCATTGCTAAATTCCCAAACTTTTTTTGAAATAAATGAAGCTTCGTAAACCATTTGTCTGTGCCCAATATCTTTCTGGCGTAACATCATTCTCATTTGGCATATCGAACTAGCATTTTCCCAATTCGAATGAATATTTATGGAAAGTGGAGAAAGGAGGACAGTAAGAAGTTGTACATGAATAATTCGGTGTCGCCTATGCGGTAGTACGAATTTGCAATGTTCCTTACACATCTTCGCTCATTGCGACGTTTTGATTAAGGCATTAGTATTTTCATATCGCCTGCTTGTCACCTCAATTTCGTTGCCATACTGCTAAAATTTTGCGATTCTAAGCTTTTAGTCTCGTCTTTGTCCCATGAACCAATCCAGCTACTCAGAAGTAACTTCAGAGGGAAAACTTTAAAAGTTGAGTGTGTAGATTAATTTGTTCGCCATAACAGGGGTGATTCTGTGCTGTTGAATCATAACCTTAATGCGGTGCCTCCTGTAAATGTCAGTCGTGTTAGAGTCACAGTCTAATTAGCGACATTTGTCGCCGGTAGTAGGCCTTTTTTATTTTTCACTCATATCCTTTTCTGCATTACTAAATGGGCTAAGTAACTACACAATTGCTTTTTGCAAACGAAATTGGCCAGAAGGCGTGGTGAATGTGCATGATTTTTGGTTAATTGCCTTATGCAGCGTGGAAATGATCAGAGGTCGTTCATTTATGCAGAAAGCCTTGCGTTTGATTTCACTGATAAATGATGGTTCACTAATGTTTAAGAATCCATATCCCTTTACCAGAACTACTTTTGTGGTGTTTCCTTTAAAGCTTTGGCTTAGTTTGTCAAAATGCTGCTATTTCATTTTACCTAGAAACTCTTTTCTTCTGTCGAATGAACGAAATAAATTCATTTGAATTGTTACATGTGCCCAAACAGTGATCTTTAAGAGGCGCGGCTCTTCAATTAGGGAAGTGAGCAGTGCCATTGCGCTTCGAGAATACAGGATTTAGATCGTGTATTGTTGAATTTGATAAACTTCCTAAGTTATTTTATGCAGAAAGGGAGAGGTTCAGAAAAGAGGCAAATGAGGCAAACAATACAGATTTCACTAAATTGTGTTGACAAGTGAGTCACCACTTCAGCCGGGTTTGTAACATTTTCGATCGCACCTCTCTAGTCCAAATTATTTTTTGGCGAAACTCTAGAAGTTTGAGTAAAAAATGCATGAATGTATGCCGTTTGTCCTACAGCTGTAATGATGCTAAAAGGATAACAATCTGTGTAGCAATGAATTCTCCATCAACAGCGCCAAGTGGGAATTACTATCAATCAATCTTTTGTTCCATAGAAAAATGGTTAACTCGATGGGATTTCCCACTTTTTAAGTGAAACAGAGACGAAATATAGGTAACAATTGAGATCTGGTGATTTCTTAGGTCATGTGGTCAGAACGGCCTTGTGTATCACTTGTCTAAATTTGTCTTACTCTAACAGCCATTTTGATCCACTTTCCTTTTATCGAATATTCCAATCTATCTAATAGAACATGTCGGAAAATAGGGTCTGTTCTTAGTCAAGAGATAATCTTGGTTACCATCTTTGTGTAACTGTGCTACTTAAGTTGTATCTTCTGCAAGATGGTGGAAAAATCTCAAAGAAATGGCCAAGAATATTATTATTGCCACGGAGAAATAGTACAATCCTAAGTATTTGTGCCAGCCTCGAATGCGTTGCAGTTGTACATAGTTCTTAATTTAGAGACTTTGAAGGTTAGCTTTTCACGGCTGTCGAAATTCCTTAATAGCCTCTAGAAATCGGAATGAACCGCGGAGGAATTAATGTTGGACTGCTCGTCTCTTGCGTGTACGTTTAAAATGGTGCGATGAACTTGTGGACGATATCATTGACCTTGTAAAGTTGTAGTATCAATAAGAAGTTTCTAACTTATGCGGATCTTGTTATTAACTTGGCATTTAGAACTCACCTATTATTAATTGAGGAACTTTAATGGTTCGTAACTTTCTACTGCTATCAGATTTCATTACCATATTCTTCCAGAATCCGGCTGGAGCACTTGTTCTACTACACTGATTATTCTAGAGTATTTCCTGGACTACTATTAAAAGCCTTGAGATTTTTTGAAATTTATGTCGGTCTTCCGGGACAACAATTCTGAAATCATGTATTGGATTTTCACGATACTGTACTCCCTAATAAATCAGAACAAATCCCCTGGAACGTGTTTTGTGGGCTTTTTTGTGATTAGAAAACTAAAGTAGGATTAATGTACCTGTAAGAGTTCATTATTGTGCTTAAGCTAAGGTATTGATATGTACTTTTAGCTGACATTGTTAAATAGGTCTGTTTAAGTGCGTATCAAGTTCAGTGACAACAGTTGTAGCGCTTATTGAAAACCCCGTTTTGGTCTTTTAGGTGATTACCTGGACACCCTCTTCGCTCTTTGCCGTAACCTTGTGGAGCGGTTGAACCTGATTGTTAAGCATCCGACGAGGCCAAGGAACGCCAATTTCGTGTCATCACCAGCAGAGGTGTCACCTCCGAGCCTATTGAAGAAGCGAGCCTTCGAGAGACGTCAGTTGGCCTGGCAATGCCTCACTGCCCATCTTTTGCGTCATCTAGAGCTTCTAGGCAACCTTATTTACGGCAGCCCAGAGGTCAAGAAAGCCGTTGTTGAAGCCGGTTTTCCGAAGGTGGGATGACATAGCTAGTTTAAAGTTTAAAATACGTCATCTGATGCATTGCGATTCAATTTTGTTATGGTAGTCCTCATGCCATAGGCGTATTATGCCTTGGGAATTTGGCTGGCCAAGCCTTGTCGCAAGGTGAGGGTTGGATAGTCGGAGATTCGCCGTAGAGGAAAAAGTAAACAATGATTTAAGGTCAGCATGTTAGTTAAAACCATTCTCAATACGAAAGTCTTCTAAGTAATTGATGACATAAAATACTTTATAGTCAGTTAAAAGCAACAGTAAAGTTGGATAAACGCTAAAGATTTGAATGAAAATGTTTGGAGAGATCCAAAACAAAAAACAAAACAAAACAAAAATACAAAAGATAGACATTCTTGTGAGTTTTAAAAACTATTCAAACTTACGATGTAAGCAGCCTCAAAGCCTGGCAAAGATAATGTTTTTATCTCACTTGTGTCACTCACTCATTTATGGTGACTGATGAATTCCTCTAAAACATGAGCGGCCGATCTCACCATATTAACCATAGGGCAGTCGTCGTCAGCTTTGTTTACCTCAACACAAATTAATAAGACAAGGTTACAGCTACAGGAGATTTCCATGCTGTTCAACAAGAATTCACCACCCAACTTTATTTAGTTTCCTATCAGTAATTCCAGAAAAGTCAAATTTTTTTGCAACCTTCAAAATAATTGTGTTTTATTTATTTCCAAAATAAAACGCTTTTAGTTTCTTTACTCGGATTCTGCGTTATTGTTCTTGCAGCTGGTGCTGGACATCTGGCCATTGGGTCTGATCGACAGCCGAGTGATGTACAACCTCCTATTTTGTCTCATCAACCTCTCCGCCGATTCTTTATCGGCCTCCAGCGTCATTGCTGCTGCCACCACCCCCACTAATGTCTCTACCACTGCCACCGCCTCTTCATTGCGTGGTGAAGTCCCTCCAATATCTGCCTGCACCCATCCCACCACCGGCATGTTTTTTCTCTTCCTTTTTTTGCCATTTTTTGTGAAAGATGCATTGTGTTACTTTGGTATTCTTTTTGATAATTCAGCTTCTCTCTATTTTGTGCTTATTAAATTTTGCATTGGTGCATGCCATTGAGTACTTAAAAGCCATGATTTCACGATAAGTAGATTATTTTATTTGAAGATAGATTTTGATGCTTTTACATAAATACGTTTAGGTGATGCTGCTCTCATCGTGTTTAATTTTACATTATTTTTTTTCGAGTAATCCTTTGGTCCACTTTAGAAACCAATTAATCCGTCTTTCTATTATTCCATTGTAAAATGTGATAGGACTATTATTCTC